AGTTATGATTTTGATGGTTGGTTATATATCAGTACAACTGACAGAAAAACAACATTTTACAAGAAAACAATCCATAACTGCACAATAAACAATGGAAGTCAGGGTATAACATCTCAATTTTCAGGAAGCTAATACCTCAATAACACCCAAGAAGGAAAGATCCATTACCCCCAAGTCAAAAATCTGTCATTAAAATGGAAATTGCCTCAGATAAGAGTCAATGAAGGTCAATTAAAACTCTAATAGGCACAAAAAGAGATAAAGCCTCAAAGCTCTTTCAGCTGAAAGCAACTGCACACACTGTATGACAATCCTACACCTCAAAGAATGCATTTATGAAAATGAAATCACTCCTGCATGGGAAGCACATAGCAATTAATGATAAAAATGTAATTTAAACCATTATATTAGCTTTTGTCAAGATGACGGGTATTATAAGTCACATCTATGCCTGAACACATCTCCATATATTTTTTTAAATTGCAATTATTTTGGTATTATAAACCTTGGTGGTTTAACCAGCCATTATAAATAATTTGCATTTAAACACAGTTGCTAATAAATGTAAATTAGTACCACCATAAAAAAGTAAATTAAACCACCATAAATACAGAAATTATTCATGGAAATATTCACACATGCATGCACACACTCACAAATTACACTCACAGAAACTAAAAACAATGAAAAACACAAAACTGTAAGCAATGTACACTTTGCCGAATGCTTCACTAAAGCACAAACAATATATTATGAACAAAACAAAACAATTTGCACACAACTCAGCATAAACTATTTCCCCTTTTGTTTATAAAAGCTGGTTTGTGGTTAAAACATGATGCATTGTGGCCAGTGAAAGACATTATTTTGCATCTTCCTTTGCACAATTTTTTTTTCATTGAGTCAGCCATATTTAAACTGCTTCTTTCTTTTCGCTCCATTTGTTTATTAAACAAATAACTGACCTACAAAATAGGCATCAAAATTCAGATATAACTATTAAGATTCTTCCAACAAAAAAAATGAGGTGCATCGTCCAGTCAAAAATTGTGTCTGACCCACTTTCTTTCTTCCGGCATACGCCGTCCCACTAACCATGCCTTTATGACTTCACAACTAACTAATTGAAGAACAAATAAAAACTCAAACGCATACTATCTAAACTAAATTTTACACTTTCAAAAAAAAACACTTTTAAAACCCAAAGTCTTATGTTGCATAGCTATATTTATGGGAATAGACAAAATGATCCATTTTACTTTTATGACAGAAAATCATTAGAATATTAGGTAAAGATCATCTTTCGAAAAGACTTTTTTTTTTTTTTTTCTCCCATACTATACAAACTTCTTTTTTTATCAGAAAGATGCATAGTTACAGTAAGAACTTAATTTGGACAATGCATTGATGGATTTGCTCTTCAGTGTTTGTGTAATGATTATTAACCAGACTAAACAGAGCTAAACTGAAATAAACCTAAACACTGAAAACTGGACTGACACTGTTTCAATTTACTGTGATCTTCTATGTGAAGCTGCTGTGCCACAATCTACATTGTAAAAGCGCTATACAAATAAAGGTGAATTGAATTGAACTTTAAAAATAATTTTCTAAGTATTTAGATTATAACCCTTTTTCAACAAGTGAATCAACAGCCAAGTTGTCTTTTACTTATTCTAAATGAATAAGAGATCAAAAAATGAGAACTTGTATAGTCATTTGCAATATTACAGGCAGGCACACAACGTTATTTGACATTAATATTAGGTTACATTTAGGTCATGATGTCAGGTGACCAAAATTTAATGTCTAGCCAGCATCTAAAAACAACGCTATTTTGACATTCAGTAACGACATCAAATGACGTTGATATTTGGTTTATTTTAGGTTATGTCAGAAGGTGACCAAAATCTTAAACCAACTTCATATTGACATCAAATTTGGCAACCAAAAAAAAAATACAGTGGTAACGTCCACACAAGCTGTAACATCATTAGATGTTGATATTTGGTTGATTTTAGGTTGGACATTGATGTCAGTTAAGTTCTGACTTCAACCCGATTTTCATTTCCAAACAAAATGCAACGTCCCCATGACATCGGGGTGCAACGTCAATCTAACATTATGTTGACGTCCTGTGCCTGCTGGGCTGTGTTCAAAAAAAGCACATTTTAGGGAAAGCAGCAACAACCTAGAGAAAATGGCAGAGAACATGAACAAATCTTTGCTATAAAGTCCAGCCGTTTCTAAGCGCACACCAGCCAAGTCAATTACCCAGCAATTGTCAGCTCACGAAAAGAAATGGATTCAGTTTTGGCTGGCAGCATTTCAGTGTCCACTATGAAATGGCCTGTCGAGAGCAGCGACATCCTGACGTGGTTGTGATTAGGAATGAAGCTGAGCGCATGTGCCCTGTAAATGAAAACTTCACTCAAGATGGGACTTTTGCTTTCTCATCCATCCAGATCTCAAAATCCATTTAGGAACTTGACATATTTGTTTGGGTGCTATAATACTCTCTACACATCTTTCAAACAACTAAAAGATACAGTGCCAGTTCTGACTCACATGGTGCCCTTGGCAAGATCAGACAGAACACATTATGTATTAAAATCTTTTTTTTTTAAATATAGTACTGTACACTTACACTATTACTGCAGTAACATACACCTTTTGATCAAAAAGTAAAGCAATAAACTCATTTAAATTCAAAGAAATTAACTTTAAAACATGACTCTATATATCTACTGCTTTCCTTTTTTATATTCACTTTGTGAATTGGTTATCTTAAACTATACTGAATTGATTCAGTGAACAAGCTGACAATAATGCTTACCTCTAACAGAAATGAGTCAAGTGTATTTACTTAAGAATAAATGTCATTAAAAGGGCTTTAAGGATATAAAATTTAAAAAATATCTTATAATGCATTAAAACCAGGTAAGATGTTAGACTAGAATTAAGATGTTTTTTTATACAGCAAGCTACTGTATCTGTGTATGGGTCTATGTGGGTGGCAGTGTGTGATGTTGTGTGTGTGTGTGTGTGTGAGCGCATGTATGTGTGTCACCTTGCCTGAGTCAATCTCATGCTGAGTGTCAAACAAGTGACCACAGGATACTAATGAGGAGCAGATCTGAGCCAATGCAACATTCAACACCTACACCATCCCCACAACAGTAAGAGATGCCTTCTTGTATTTCAACTTTTACTGAACATTTCTAGAAAGCTAAAAATAACAAACTGAACCAAAGTATAAACAAAGAATTAGCATCTAAACCTTACCAATAAATACATTTAACCCAAACCTAATTAAACCACTATACTCTAATCAAAGATTTTTTATTGATATACATGTTATTTTAAAGTAATTTAAAATCCATCTTGTGAATGTTTCTAAGAACCAGTGGTCTAACCCGGTTTAAACCCACAACACCTAAACCAAACAAAGCTAAACAATCAGAAACACAGAACTAAATCTGACAAATCTGAATAAACTATACAAATACACACATTATTTTTCTAAATAAATAAAGCAAAGGATTCAAATCATTCAACTTCAAAATTTCATGTTCAATTCAACATGTTCAATATGTACTTATTTAACCAGGATAGTCTCATTGAGAGACAATATCTTTTTTTAGCAGGTAATATGGCATCTTAGAGAATATATGTCTTTATATCTGTGCAAAAATAGATTCTGCACACATATCCACATTATGATTATTAGCCTTACAACATACCCTAATTAAAATTTACTTTAAAGTTTAAAGATCAATTAGGATGAATGCAAAAAAAAAAAAAAAAAAAAAAAACACATACAGTAGGGTGTTTCATATATAAACAGCAACACAGGCAACGGTGGGATTAGAGGCAAAGGCTGATCTGATGGCTTTGAACAGAATATTCTCTTATATAACGGCCTGGGCGCTAATCCCTCAACACCACTATGCTGCAGTTGTTCGTCACTCACTGTAAACTGCCATTACAGCCGATTATGCCCACCAGCAACATATTTCTAGAGATAATTGAAAAGCAGATTCATCTGGTGAAATAGCTTGATCTGAGGATTATAAAGAAAATGAAGCCAAGCAGAAGCTAACATGACAAACAAATCATCCAAACAAACATATTTTCATGAGAAAGGGAATGAGTCGCCTTCAATATGTACACATATTACAGTGTACCAAACACAAGGTACATATGAGTGACCTGACTGCACAGCTGAAAAAGCAACAAAGCCAAAATTCTACCTGTAGATAAAGTGGACTGACTTATAAAATATGTGATCTCTCATATAAGATCACACAATGTTTTGCAATAAATTTCGTTACATACGTTGGAAAGCTTTTGATTAAATGCATTAAACCTTTTGTATGGACAAAATTATTCTGCATTTCAAACAATCCATTAATTCTTATGTTTTCTTGGAGCTTTCAGAAATGCTGTTTTGTGTACAGGTGCAATTTCTCCTGACACAGTGACCTAAATACGCACTGGAAGAGCTTCTTAAAGACATCAAGCCTGACTCCCTTCCATCAATATTTGACGATTTGGGTTTCATATCTATCCACCGTTTAACACATGTCTAATGTTTCATCAGTGTAAAAATGCATGTTTATTTTACAATCTTTAGCCATTATTTCAATGCTCAGGTGAGCCATCCATTGTGTGGCAGCAGCAGTAATATTAACAAATTGCTGTGAGTGATGCAGGTACCAATGCTTCCAAAAACCTCAGCATCTTAAACAATCAGATGACCTAAAGATGTACTTAATTAACAGTTCCCTAACAAAAATTATATGGTTTTGCAATACTACCAATAGTTTAACCATATTAAAACTGTGATAAATACAAATAATAATCTACATGGCCAAAACATTATTAAACCCCGGCTAATTTTCGGTGAACCAAAACAAATCATTGTTAAACCAAAAATCTGAGATTACAGTCTAACACAATAGTAGCTTACAATGTCAACAAACAGACTTAAATCTCACCTCGAACATGGGAGATGCTCCTTTCTCGGGCAGTGTACATCCCAGCAGCTCAGCGAGGAACTTTGCCATATAAATGTGTGTTGTGTGTTTCGCTGGTAGATTGATAACGCCGCTAGCTGTTGTTCCTTTCACTACAGCGCCCACAGGTAGTCTTGATCCAGCAGCGGGTTCCTAGAGTACAACAGACCGATTTGTCGCTCTTTGGACTTTCCTTTCAGCATGTCTTTCTCTCAGAACTCACAGTAATTCATCTGAAACTGTGACAGCTCATTGTCTTTGTCTCGTCAGGAGCGCGTGCGTCTGCATACAGCGCAGTGGAGTCGAGCTCATTGAACGCCACTTGTAATCCTCGTGTAGGGAGGGAGGGTGAGGGGACGCTGGATAAACTGATGTAAAGCTCCGACAGGTTGCCTTTTTCTTTCTGTTTTATTACCTACGTTTACTGGCGCTTTCAAAACATCAGAGGTTTAATAGGTTTGATGTAGCAGTGCTGATGCTGACTTACCTCTCCAATGACATTTGAAGTCACTTAAAGAGCTAACTTGCACTTCAGTGACACATTTGTGCCCCTGGACCATTTTAGATTTATTTATCAATAAAAACGTTAATAATATATGATTTGGTAGGATTGGACAATATTTGGCCAATATACAACTTTTCGAACATCTGGATTCTGAAGATAAAATAAATAAATAAATAAATGTTGGAATTTTTTTTGACATCAACCATTAGATTTTTGATATTCATTGTTGATATTCATTCATTTGATTTCTTTACAGCTTAGTCCCTTTATTAATCAGGGGTCGCCACAGCGAAATAAGCAACTTATCCAGCATATGTTTTACGCAGCAGATGCCCTTCCAGTCACAACCCAACACTGGGAAACACCCATATACTCTTGCATATACACACACACACACACACACACACACACACACACACACACACACAACGGCCAATGTAGCTTATTTAATCAACCAATACCACATGTATTTGGACGGTGGGGGAAACTAGAGTACCCTGAGGAAACCCACACGAACACGCAGAGAACATGCAAACTCCACACAAAAATGGCAACTGAATGCAACCTTCTTGCTCTGAGGCAATCGTGTTACCCACTGTGCCACCGTGATGCCTCATTGTTGATATCTGAAATTCAGTGGTGTAAAGTAATAAATTACAAATACTCAAATGATTGTAATTAAGTAGTTTTACTCAGGGATTATAATTTACTAAGTATTTTTATAAATGTGTACTTTTACTTTCCTTTCAGTACATTTTTTGTGCTGCATTTGTACTTTTACTGCACTACTTTCCTTCAACCCGCTTTATTTTTTCTTGTCTATGGGGATTAGAAAAATCTGTCCTGTGATTCCTTTCCAATCAAATAAATCATAATGAAGTATCTCAATGCATGGATGATTTATAATTGCTGCAAACTGTTTGGAAGCATTAAAAGTGTCCAAGAAGACGTCCAAAATCTTTACACACATTGACCCAGAGACTGTTCAGATGCATGTCACTGATGAAAAGATGACGGATCTTTACTTTATGACGTCCGAAATGACCTTAAACAGCCAGCAGGCACAAGATGTCAACATAACGTCAGATTGAAGGTGTACCCCAACGTTGTAGGAACGTTGCATATTATTTGGAAATTAAAATCGTGTTGATGTCAGAACTCAACGTCAGGCCAAGATGTCAAACATCCAACCTAAAATCAACCAATTATCAAGATCTGATGATGTTATATCTTGACGTTGTGTGTACGTTACCACTATGACGTCCATCAGACGTTGGATTTTGGTTGCTATACTTGATAAATAAATGTCAGTATTCAACATCAATATGACGTTGCTTTAAGATGTTGGCTTGACGTTGGATTTTGGTCACATTCTAACACAACCTAAAATCAATTTAATATCACTGTCATTTGATGTTGCTATTAGACACATCAAAAAAACATTGTCCTTAGACGCTGGCTAGACATTGAATTTTGGTCACCTGACGTCACAACCTACATCTAAGCTAATATTAATGTCTAATGATGTTGTGTGCCTGCTGGGCAATGATGACTAATTGCAATACAGAAAGTTGCATTTTCACACATCCACAAATTAAATGTAAATGCATTAGCTGTTTACAGCGTACTCGCTACCCACTACTCTTGTCTTGGGTATTGTTGAAAGGTCTATTTTTCACTCATACTTTGAGTAATATTTACAACAGTTACTTTTACTCTACTTGCACTTCATTTTTAGGCAAGTAATGGTACTTTTACTTGAGTATGATTTTTCAGTACTCTTTCCACCACTGCTGAAATTTAATTTTGAACTATTGTTATCAATCAAAACTTGAATTGTATTGAAAATAAGAAAGTATTTGCAATGTTAATAACTTTAATCTGCACAGTCTTAACAAACAGTTCTCTTAGAGCAAGTGTGACTGTAGTACATTGTAGTCTTGACACTTTGGAGATTTAGGCTACAACTGATTAAAGAGCTGGTTTTACAGCCAAAATGTGCATGAATATCACCTTTGATTCATAGCTGATGTAGCAAAAATGTTTATTCTGGAACGTTCACATTTTGTCACTTAGACGTTAATAATCAACTCTAAAAAGATATTTTATTCTGGCTCCAGTGGATGTCTTTAGAAAGCTCACTTTTATGTCACAGATATAAATACTAAATTCTAAATAGACAAGTCACAACAAAACTTTCATTTTACACACTTGCCCTTTTTTCACTTGAGCTTCTCAAAATACCTGCATGTCCCTGAATGAGACCAAATTACAAATATATTCTAGGGCCAGCCCATGTATTGCTTTTTAAGTTAAGTACTTTTAAAATCAATACGTGATGGAACTGGAAACCAGTGTAATTGAGAAAGCAGGTAATATGACAACAAAATGGTGTATTAGTTTAAATGGGAGCAGTTGGTTTTAGCACAAACTGCAGCTTCTTAAATAAACTTGCAGATAGGAATGAGGCAGGAATAAGCCTTTCTTTATCAGCAGTGAGAGAAACGTTGTTTTATACATGCAATGTTCTTTAAATGATAAAACTATTTTAAAAACATTCTTAAAATGAGTGTTAAATGTCAGCTGTGAATAAACAAGTCCACCCAAAAATTGGCAACTACACAGAAGAGAGAATCTGTGCAGGTGTCGCAGGCCCACTCAGAGTGTGCTGATGTAATGTACAGGTAGTAATGTAAATAGAGTTGTCATAGCAATGATTACCCAGAACATACTTTTCAATAATCTGCCTGTTACAGTCTTAAAGATGGTAAGTTAAGGGGGAGGAGAGTAACATAAATTTTGGATTAAACACATAAGCAAAAACACAATAGCAACTAGTGAGGAACAAAAAACCAAGACTAACTAAATGCAATAGAGTGAGTTTTATTTACAAAAGATATGTACAGTTGAAATCAGAATTATTAGCCCCTCTGATTAGTTTTTCTCTATTTTTTTCTCTCAAAACGGAGAGAAGATTTTTAACAAATTTCTAAACATAATGGTTTTAATAACTCATTTCTTGTTATAACTGATTTATTTTATTTTTGCCATGATGACAATAAATAATATTTTACTAGAAAATTTTCAAGACACTTCTATACTGCTTAAAGTGGCATTTAACGGCTTAACTAGTTTAATAAGGTTATCTAGGTAGGTTAGGATAATTAGGCAAGTTATTGTATAATGATAACTTGTTCTGTGGACTATCGAAAAAATATATAGCTTAAAGGGGCTAATAATTTTGACCTTAAAATGATTTTTAAAAATTAAAAACTGCTTTTATTCAAGCTGAAATCAAACAAATAAGACTTTCTCCAGAAGAAAAAATATTATTAGACATACTGTGAAAATTTCCTGAATCTGTTAAGCATCATTTATAAAACATTTAAAAAAGGGGAAAAAAAAAATCAATGGGGGGCTAATAATTCTGACTTCAACTGTATATCAAAAGAACAATAAATAAATAAATATTTACAAAAATATATTGAAAATCAAAATGGGACAATTGGGAAATGTTTAAAGAGGTAGATGGGAGATATGAGACGCGGACAACACTTAAATACTAAAAAGAGTGTGAGCCACTACATCTTGTGTGTCCCAAGTCTTTGATTAGCTGGCCAGGTAATTTGAATTGAGTAACTTGGAAATATGAACTTTTAAGAGCAGAATAAAAGGCAAGACAAAAACTTAAAATTTTCTTTGCTATTATGGGTCACATTACTCTCATCACTTTATAAATTATGTTATGATAAATGTAGTTTTCTCCAGTCTTTCTCTTTTTTATGTTTGAGTTGTTTTGTCCAAAGACTGGTGTTGCATCTGAAATTCTATACTATAGGCAGCTATATTTGAGTTTGCTTACTACATGACTGATAATTTCAATTGATTTGTTCAGTTCCCTGATAACCATTTATGACCATTATTTCAATATAAAAATATGTATATTATATATATATATATATATATATATATATATATATATATATATATAGATAGATAGATAGATAGATAGATAGATAGATAGATAGATAGATAGATAGATAGATAGATAGATAGATAGATAGATAGATAGATAGATAGATAGATAGATAGATAGATAGATAGATAGAGAGATAGATAGATAGATAATATAATATGTACATATAATTATATGTACATATAAGGTAATTATATACAAATTATTTATCATAAAAATGAACCACTAGAAACCAATTGCAAATGACAATTATTGCACTTTGATGGAAAAAAGTTATTTCTATATCTGCTTTGCTCACATGCATTTTGTCATTATGACAACTCCAATGTTGGGCATTGCGCTTGACTAGTTTAATGAACTGACCTGAAATGAGGTTTAAAATGTTGAGTGGTTTAGTCAGTGTGTGTACATATGTGTTTGTGTAATTAGTCAGCAGCAGCCGGTTGAACAGCAGGACACCTGCACATGAAAAGCAGAGGCACACCTGTCTCTACAGGGACCATTTGCTCCAGTGAAAATGCTGATCACAATGGAGACCCCATAGATCAACATAATAATAATAATAATAATAATAATAATAATAATAATAAAATAAAGAAGTAGAAAAAGAAAAGCTTTTTTATAAATGTATTTATCTGATGTTTTATTTTTTATTATATGGAAACCTGGTACCCTAAGACAAAAATAGAAAGGAATATTAATGCACAATATAAACTTGTGAGAAATTTTATAATTTCACAAATCTGAACGGACTCAATTCCTTTATGTTTGTCCCAACACAAATCTATTAAGTTAACTTTTTAACGTTTTTTAACAGGTTTAAGTG